GCAGATTGAAAGACTATGATATTGGAAACAATTTAGAAATAGAGTTGAGGTTAGTTTTGGGAGCACTTTAAGGTAAGTTACACGGGTTTAGTTCACTTTAAACACATTTTTGTTACTAAAAGTGCATTTTAGCCACGTACTAAAAATGCATTTTAGTCACGTTTGAGCTATGACAATTCACCAACTCATTTGAGCGATGAAGATTCATTCATTTTCGAAACCTTTCATATAATATATTACCCATCAACCTCTATAATACCCTAATCAAAATGAGAATAAGGATAATGGGAAAAATCATTTTCCCTTTGTATAATTCAACACTAAACTTGAATAAAGAGTGAAATTAACTTCCTATATTACAAATGACCGAACAATATATCACTCAAAATTTATTTAGCCATTGAAATACTTAACACAGCTACACAAATACGAGAACCTAGCCACAAAATCAAGTAGGAAAAAAAAAGCAACAAACTTAGCAAAAGAACATCGAACATCATGAAAAACCAAAACCCACAAAATCTACTCATCCAACCACGAAAACGTCCCGAACTAAATACAAATCTTCATGCTTAACCAATTGCAGATATTAACTTCACACTAATTCAAGCTTGTAAGATCTGGATAAAAAGTGAACTTTTATCTTAAATAATGCATGTTGAGAACTAGTTCACAAATAAGTTAACGGGAGAAGCTCATCAAATCATTATTGAAATATAGGCTCAGTTGATTCATTTTAGCCAATAACAGTTTGCCTCAACTTATGCAGCTTGAAACTAGCTCAACCCAGTTTCGAGCGAAATAAAAATACAGTGGGATAAATAAGGGAAGTCTAACGGTACCTAATTTCTCGTCAAGATAGGAGAAACCCGAGTGAAAGCATGTGCAGCTTTCGTCTATTTTGCTTGAGGGTGAGAGGCAATAAAATCAACAGCAAGATTGATAGCATTGATTTTGTCTGATTCATTATCAGGAATTTCAAAACGGAACTCTTCTTCAAGTGCCATCACAACCTCCACAGTATCTAAACTGTCCAATCCTAAATCATTTTGAAAATGGGCCGTTGGAGTAACCTGGTAGAGAATGTATAATATGCATTATCAACTCGTGAAAAAAGAAAGAAAGATAGAAATGAATGCAGTGCTTAAAATTTCTATGCGAGTTTCAAATGCACCTGGTAGTCTACCTAAACAAGTATTTTCATATGAATAATTGAGATCCTACTCTTTAAGAAAGGNAAGGGGCATAGATACAACAAAAGAGATGATACGAACACAGCAACACGTTAATTTCTATACAATATGCCATGGGCATCACATTTTTTCTTATAGAAGATGTGTACATATTGATATATTTAATATTTCAAACTAGATAAAAACACAAAGTTGACATTCAAAAAGCAAAAATATGTTTCACCAAGAACACAAAAAGCCAGGTCAGTTGACCATAATATACACACACACACACTCTAGAATTTGGTGTGTCGGATACCATCACATGTCAATACATATCCATGTCAAACATGTGTCCATGCTTCCTATCTAAGAACAAACATTAAGCTTTCAAAATACAATTTCCAATCTCACTATTACAGCTTTGTTTATGAATAACCTCACATCATTAGAGAGAACAATAATGGAGCATAAAAAAAGAAATAAGATGGGAACTTGTAGATTATAATTCTCCATCATAAAATAAAATAAAAAAAAAAAAAAAAAAAAAAAAACAAGTATATGGGAGTCCACATGACAGCAGACAATTAACAAACAAGTATTTTCTCCTTCTAGTTTCCTGTGTGTAACTGTAATGGTTCATTCTTTACCGGAGGAATGAGGAGAGTCTTAATCATTTGTTGTAAACTTGCCAATTTTCTCTTTACCTTTAGGGGCGTTGGAAGAGTCCATTCCAGGCTTGTGAGGTGCACACGGATATGGGAGGTCTATGATGGAGGAGGTGCATCTGAATCTTCCCTTTAGGGAGAAGGGCAAAGTGGTGTGACAAACAAGTTGTTGTGGGGTATTTGAATTGAGGGAACAATAGAATTTATAAAGGAAGAGGAAGAGTATCATTGTCATCTTCTTAAAATAATGAACCAAAATCTTCAAAAAAAGAATCTTCAAGAACAACATCCTCCAAGTTAGGCTCCATAACTGATTCTAACACTATTTAATGCTAACGTTGGAATCATAATCATAATCATGTGAAAGAGGAGTATGGTATTTTGTCAAGTGGATAACTCCTCTAGTTAATAAAGAATCTGGATTCAAAGGGGATAAAACATTTTGGTTGCAAGTATTGCAAAGTAGAAAATGTGAAGGATAAGAAGGTGAAGAGGCAGCTTGCTTCATATGGGGGGCTAAAAATCTTCAACAACTTTCTTCAATTAAATCGGTATTCAAAGAATTATCCTCAATGAACGGATGAAATGAAGAATAAAGCCAAAATTTTCGAGAATAAATAGGCTGTAATAAAACAATTTCTCACCTTGTTAACACTTAGAGGTTAGGTAGACTCAAAAGCCTTCAGGGAAGCTTCAGAAGGTGTTTTGAAACCCACAGAATGGGCATGTTCAAACAAAATTTGAATCGAAGATTCATCAGTCATTTAAATGTCATTAATGGGACTTGAGTTATTGTTTGTAACCTCTTCAAAATTAAGAGTATCAGTAAAAGATGCTCTCGAAGTTGTATACCAAATCTAACATCAATGCTCAAACACATTTCCAAATCATGCAAGCCCATGCTAGTTAATGATATCTTTGAGAAGGATAATACAAATGAAAAACTACACTGGAAGAAGAATCTGCCGAAGAGAAATAGCTTGAAGGCTGAGAGTTGAGGTTCCATTGGGGGTAAGAAAATATACTCCGTCAACCATAATTCTGTTGGATGATGAAAGTCCCACATCGGTTAATTTAGGAAATGATCATGGGTAATCAAAGAATACTATCTCCATTAGTATGAGGCTTTTTGGGGGAAGCCCAAAGCAAAGCCATAAGAGCTTATGCTCAAAGTAGACAATATCATACCATTGTGGAGAGTCGTGTTCATCTAATATGGTATCAGAGCCATGCCCTAAACTTAGTCGTGCCAATAGATTGGTGTAAATCCTCAAATGTCGAGCAAAAGACTCCAAAAAAAAAGGAGTCAAGACTCCTTGAAGGCATAGTAAAAAATGACTAAGACTCCAAAGGAGTCGAGCCTCGATTAAGGGGAGGCATTACTTTGTTCGAGGGAGGTGTTGGATGATGAAAGTCCCATATCGGTTAATTTAGGGAATGATCATGAGTTTATAATCAAAGAATACTATCTTCAGGGTATGAGGCCTTTTGGAGAAGCCCAATGCAAAGTCATGAGAGCTTATGCTCAAAGTGGACAATATCATACCATTGTGAAGAGTCGTGTCCAACAACGGACACCTTCTATTGAGTAATGCATCCTATTTCAATATGTTTTTAATACTTTAGAACATAGATACACATCCCTAATTTGCAAGTACAATGAAAACGCACAATACGTTCTCACTAGTAGCTCACAAACCAAATCAACCCTAAATTTCAAAGTTATTAAACTAACAAAAAGCCACTGCAAACACAAAGCGTAGCTCACAGAAACTTAATTGCGTAATTTGATATCAGACACATTAAATTAAATGAATCATGAAAGGAATAGAGTATTTCTCATACCTTGCAAGGATCGACTTTCTGAAATTTCTTGACAACGGAAATGACGCGGTCAGCGACTTCCGATTTGTCAAGAAAAGAACCCCTCGCCTCCTCGGAGAAGAGACGGCGTCGAATCGCATTGAAGGGGTGGACATAGAGAATGGGGGTATTGGATTTGGGCAGGGCCTGTACGTGAACCCTAATATACTTCAGTAGAGAATTCCTCGCCGCCATTGGAACTGATATACGGAGTTTCGAGAGCTCGAAGAAATGGCTGCTCGTGAGAGAGGTTTTATGCGGTTTTGGACGCAGAGCAACGAACGAAGTAAGAGAAACGTATAATAATATTTTTTTCCGGTTAAATTAATAACAATATTATTATTAAAAAAAAAAAAAAAAAAAACTCTAAATTTTCAAAAAAAATTTAATAATACAAAATTAAAAAAATATTTTGTTTAAAATATATTCTTAATTTTTTTTAAAGTTAGTTAATATCTTTAAAAACGTTAATTTTAGGAAGAAATTATTAATATTTTGTTTGTTTTTTAAAATTAGTTAATATCTTTAAAAGAAATTAAAAAAAATACTATCATTGTCAAATATACTTATTAACTTTTAAAAATAACATTAAGATCTATTACACTATATGCTATAAAATTATGAAGAGAAAACCCATCTTCTAAATGAATTAAAATTACCAAGGTCATCCAAGCATATATATCTATCGTACTTTTACATATCTCTCGTAAATATAATGGATTATCTCTCGTAAATATAATGGATTATCTCTCGTAAATATAATGAATCCCACATCCTTACATTCTATTTAGATTTTTATCTCCGAGCATAAATTTTTACCTATCTCTCATAATCCCTACATCCTTACCTTCCATTTAGGTCTCTCATAATCCCTACGTCCTTACCTTCCATTTAGGTCTCTCATAATCCCTACATCCTTACCTTGCATTTAAGTTTTTACCTCTCTCATAAACTGGATCTACAGATCCCTACGTCGTTATATTCCATTTAAGATTAGGCTTAGGAATATGCATATAGACTTGTTTTTTACATATCTCTCATTGTTTGGGACCCTATTCATCTCTTTGGACTTCTATTGAACCGAAAAATAGGTTTGATTGTCATCTTGGTATGATTGTATCTTTTGATATTATAATAGTAAGACATCCTCCCAATAATTCAAATCGAAGCAATTAAATATCTGACTCAAACCTATATAACATGACCGAACAATAGAAATACTCTTACACTCCACCGTTGTCATATATATATAGATATCACATTCATGGAATCATGAATATGATTCCTTCAAATGCAGTGACTTAGAACCACACAAGGGATCTGATAAAAGTAATAACAGTCCCATCATATCTAAGGGCCTCAAAGTACCTTAAACATTGAAGAATCTATTAAGTTCCCACAACAAAATAAGCGTTATTTAGTTGCATTACAATTTTAGCATCTCAATGGCCCCTTGTGATATGATCCAATAAGACATTCTTGCCAAACAAACGTAGGAAGTACAAAAATAATTGGTACATGTTAAGAATGAACCTTTTTATCTTTCTTTGAGCTCCTGCTCGAATTGAAGCAACTTTTCACGAACGGGCTGCAAGAATCGCTTGAAATCTTGGCAAATCTGCTGCTTATCCGAACCCAGAAGATCTTTCTCTTCGCTCAATCTCACTTCCATCTGTTATGTTTCAAAAGTAAAATTTTACCGGCCAGATCACAAGAGGATACAGCCAAAGTAATCCAAAGTATCATATTATCGTTAAAACATTATTGCTCCGATCAGTTCTGTGAGATCCAACGTTGGTTGGGGAGAAGAATGAAGCATTCTTTATAAGAGTGTGGAAAACTCTCCTTAGCATACACGTTTTAAAAACCTTGAAGGGAAACCCGAAAGGAAAAACCCAAAGAGGACAATATCGGCTAGCGGTGGACTTGGGCCATTACAAATGGTATCAAAACTAAACACCAGGTAATGTGCCAACGAGGAGGCTGAGCCCCAAAGGGGGTGGACACACGAGGCGGTGTGCTAGCAAGAACACTAGTCTCGAAGGGTGTGGATTGGGTAGTCCCACATCGATTGAAGAAAGGAACGAGTGCTAATGAGGACGCTGGGCCCTAAAGGGGAATGGATTGTGTGATCCCACATCGGTTGGGGAAGAGAACGAAACACTCTTTATAAGGGTGTGGAAACCTCTCCCTAGCAGATGCATCTTAAAAACATTGAAAAGAAGTTCGAAAGAAAAAACCTAACCTAAATAGGACAATATCAGCTAGCAATGAAATGGAATGGACGCTAGTATTGGTTGAGTTTGGCAGCTTTGGCTAAGCCCTCAGTTTAACGTAAACAATTATTTAAGTCAAATTGAGGCAAAAGGAAAAAGGTAAGGTATCAGCCCTGATGAGCCACATATTAGCTCGCAACTCCCTGGGTTTATTTGGATATGGAGGAATCCATCAAGGAAAACTGAAGCATGGAAAGGCAAGAAATATATTGTTTACATTCATCCACCATCCAAGACAGCCTAACGTTTGGAAAGATGAATTCGTTTATATTATTACTCCAGACCATTCAAGAAACTTGCAGCCACCAAAATACACTAATGAAACGAAGAACAATGTACCTGCAAGTCATCTAGCTCACCAAATGAGAACTCTGGGACGTCTATATGCCCCTTCACTGTCTTTTTCTCCTGTTTAATTGTCCACTCACCTGATATCATGCACAATCGTGATAGTAAATACATAGACAAACGGAAGGAAAGTGATGTTAAATAAATGTAATTCTAATTAAGCTAACCACTACCTTTAATTTTCAATGTGAGTTCATATGTATAACCAACACGTTTCTTGTTACGGACAGTCACCAAAAAAGCCTGCACACATGAATGTAGAATACATGATACTCAGAGATTTGAGTCATTGATATTCTAGCAGAAGAAAAAGGGGGAAATGGCATTGATGTTCCATTGCAGGCACAGATCAATTTGATGCGTTGTCTATGTGGAGACAAACTGCGGCAATGGGACCTTGCACTTTCTCGAGTGAAGTTTTCTTTAACCATATGAGGAATAGAACAACATGGAAGTAACCATATGTGGACGAGTTATTCTAAGGGGGGAGGAGTAGATATAGTAGGAATTACTGTATAGCTACTGGTTTTTATTACCCTGTTTTTCCCTCTGTTTAACTAGTTTCTGGTTGGTTACTGTGGTTGGTCTTTATTTTTACAGCAAGGTTTTTGAGTGTTTCCATCCAGGTAAAACATGTTTACCTTGGATTACAAGGGGTTTGTGATACATGTCACTACAAGTGTACACACATTACACTCATGCCAAAAAGAAGCAGTCATGTATGGAACCCATTGGTTGAATTTTTCTTTATGCAGTTAAAGGAGGAGTCTTCCACATTCATTTCTATTTTTAGTTATTTCCCTTGTTTTAGAAGGATGATCCTCCATGATTCGTTGATGTAACAATGATTATTATACAACTTGTATAAATAGTCATAAGCATCAATGAAAATGGGATGTAAAAATTATCAATTTAGTCTTGAGTACTTTAACTAAGAAGTATTAAGGTTCCCTCTATTTGAGCCTTACAATTATTCAAATAGATCGAAAGAAGCATTTTATGTCTCCCCTCACACAAACACCGGCTACCTCCACTTACAAGAGACCCATAACTCGATTGCAAACTTGGGCCCATAACAATTTGCAATGGGGTATTATTAAATAAAGATCGGTTCAAAACTTCTCCAATATTTGTGCTACGTTATAGAAGGTGATCAAAAGACATGGAATCAGAGCACACCATGAAATAGACACACTAGACACCCAGACTCCATCATTTTTCATAAGAAATGGAAACTAATTGATTAATAGTTGAAACAGGCTAAAGGCGGGATGATAACGTCATAAAGCATCTCCCCAGCCCAAAAAAGGATTCAATAAGAAATATGTGAAAGCAGTAGATGCGCACCCAATTATCATTTAAAATTAAATAACCTAAGAAAATTGCAATTAGATGCCAATAACATCAAAGAAGCAACAAGTCTTATCCTTTAATTTTGAAATATTGATTCTAAATCAAATTAGGGCAAGGAAAAGTAAGGAATGAAAGAACTAAACAGATACAAATAGCAAGATATTCCAGAGAGAAACCAAAAACATGAGCAAAAGATATAGTAAAGTCATCCAAATTACAACTCAACTGGTATTACTATTTCATAGTGATGCTATGCTGCAAATGTAAGAAATGAACTTGAACAGAATACTCCAAAAACCAATACACATCCAACATGATATTTTCAATGTACCCCATTATATTTCAAGAATTTTCCATATCTACTCAACTTAAAATCAACAAATAATTAAGAATAAACGACAGGGACTAATTTTATTTCAAGAATTATACCACCATAAGCAGGTACAGATTTGTTTGATTTGTTCATACTGCAAATCCCACCAAAAACATTCACAGTTGACTATATAAAACAAGCATTCATATGGACCTATTCTAATAGAAAGACTTCCGAGAACTTACATCCCCAACACACTTCGATACATCCTCTATTTCAGCTTTACCACTGGAGAACTCCAAGGAATCTACTGACATTAGCAAGTCCTACAATAAAGGTGGGGAAAGAGAGAAATCGTGTTAGAAAAAGACAACAGCAGATAAACAGAAAGAACGTAATAAAAAATGTACAATAATATTGCAGCTTGTTGAGGTCACCAACCTTCATTCTATCACTCGCCCATTTATTCAAGTTCTTCTCCTCCCAAGTTCCAGCCTACAAAGGTAGAAAAAACAAATAACATTAACAACAAAATTCATCAGACACGTGCAAACGCCACTTAGCCAAGAAAAGCCAAGAAAAGAAACATAGATCATCAAAAGGCAATCATTTAGTGGCCTTCCATGTATGGGAATCTAAGTTGCTGACCATATCTAAAACAGGCAAGTTAATCATAACGAAATTCTAACTTCGTTCCCCACTTTTAACTTTATTCATGATATCGACATTACCCAACCGAATGGATCAAAGAAAATTAACGAAGTCTAGATTGTCTCAAGTTCAAGAACATTAACAAACCTTCTTTCTAACAAAAAAAATTTAAACAACATTCCTTTCAAATCTTTCTCATTATAAAGGATGTGATACCATTTCAACTTTTTTGCTGTAAATTCGAGACTCCTTTTATTTTGGAGAGGACTTCAATTTCCAAGTTCAGATATTATCTCAAACGCTATATTCCTCCCAGCCACACGACCCATACAATTAACATTAATCCTTAAAGAAATCAAAATGTCCATATTTCATCAACAAGAATGACCATTACAAACGAAACATACCCGATTCCAGACGGAGCCAAGGGTGGGAGGCTGAGAAGCTTGAGAAGCAATAATGTCGTCAGCCGAGAGCTTACGAGGGACAGGAAGTGGAGCCGCATCCTCTCGCGTCTCTCTGACCCAGTAGGTGTAAGACGCCCCCTGTTGAGTCTCGGAAGAAACTGCTCCATTCTCCATCGCGAACCCAATAAAGGAAAGCTTCTTCCAATCTGCCCGATCACCAAGATTACAATATCTGATGATTTGAACAAGCGCACGCCAAATTTGAACACCAAAGACGAAGGTGGACGTGGATCTGTGCGTTCTTAGAAGAAGCTTCCTGAAGATTTTGAATTACGGGGGAGATGCAGGCCTTTTGCTTTTTGCTTTTCGTAGAAATGGCGCTAGCCGCAGCTCAAGGCCTCGCACGAGATTCAACGAGGCTATTCTGGAACGTTCTGCTCGGCGAATTTGCGTACGGAATTTTGGGATGGCCCATGTGAGGACCTTGAGACACCCTTTTGTTTGGTTGTAAATAAAAATGGTCTTTTTAGGGTTCTAAACCTTCAAGGCCCAAATTTTAGGGCTTGGTTTGGTCAATGACAATAAAAATTTCATTTTTATTTCTCAATTTCAATTTTTTTTCCCTGAAAAATACCAATTGGGATTTTTTTTTTCTTTCTTAAAAGAAAAAAATAAATAAATTTAGGTTTAAAATTGTTTATGTAAATAATTTTAGTTCTGTTTTTTTAGATGAAATAAATAATTAAAAAATAATTTGTATTTTTATAAAAAAATTCAAAAATATTTGGTATAATTTAATCAATAAAGATAATACGAAACCAATTAAAAGTTTAAAGGTATTTTATGAAATAAATAAATATTTAAGAATTTTTTTGAAATTTAACGATATTTTTAAAATAAATAAAATAAAAAGCAATTTCAAATAACCCTAAGGCTATTTTCGTAAAGTTGGGGCTTCGCCATATTTCAGAGGGGTCCCTATTGGGCGACTGCTGGGTCTGCGAGCTCTAGGAGAAGGAAGAAGAAGAAAAGCCATGGAAGAAGAAGAAAGCGCCTCCACTAAGATGAGGATTTACGTTGGAGGACTAGGTGCTTCCATGACTGAAGACGACCTCAGAAAGGTTTTTCAGAGCGTCGGCGGCGTGGTGGAGGCCGTCGATTTCATTCGTTCCAAATCTCGCAGCTTCGCTTACGTTGATTTCTTTCCGTCCTCCCAATCGTCCATCTCCAAACTCTTCAGCACTGTAAGTTTTTTTCTCCTCGATTCCATTGCCGAACTCTCATTACGTTGTTTCTTTTTCCCGATTTTGGCTATGTTTTCTCTTGAATGTGTGTTCATATGCCTATCTCGCTATCTGGTTGCGATTTTAACCTAATAGTAGTTCGATTTTTGCATTTTCCGTACCTCTTCATGAATTAGATAGCGCGTTCCTAATTTAGTTGCTGAAAAGTTCGTTATTCTTATACAAAGTACAATGGATGTGCTTGGAAAGGAGGAAAATTGAGGCTTGAGAAAGCTAAGGAACATTATCTTGCTCGCTTGAGGCGGGAGTGGGAGGAAGATGCTGAAATTATGAATTATGATGATGGTGCAGACCTGGAGACTTCTGCTCCAGAGTCTACAGAGCATGTTGCGAAATCAGAGCACATTCAGATTTTCTTTCCAAGTTTAGGAGAGGTAATTCTTTGCTTACAAAGTTTTCATTTTGAGATGATTCAATCAATGACTGTTCTTTAGATTCTTAAGTAAGAATTTGTTTTACAGGTGAAGTCTTTTCCAGTTAGTGGTACAGGAACTCACAAATATGATTTTCCACATGTTGAGGTGCCTCCTCTTCCTGTGCATTTTTGTGACTGTGAAGAGCATAATGTTTCTGATCCCACTGGCAAATCCATGGACACAAAAACAGGAGATTTGGATGCTGGGAATGGTGGAATTGATGAAGATGAAATCAAGATGATGAATACAGTGTTGAACAAGCTCTTCGAGAGGCAGGAAGCTTCTCATGCTAATTGTAATGGGACCATGGCAGTCAAGGATAAAGACAACTCTAAGATATTGACCGATAATCAACCACTTGAAGATAATAAAGAGGATAGTGATGAAGATAACCTTGTGCTTAATGTAATGGCTAGTGGCTCCAATTCCAAACCTTTACCATTGAACAGTGGAAGTAAAAGTTTCAAAGCTCATGGGAACAGTAAGGTTAAGAATTATGCTATCACCATCGCCATTTTATCTTTTTTTCCTTTACGTTTTAAGATATGTTTGAGAGGGTATGTTTATCTCAAGGGTTTGTTGAAGCATTTTGGGTTTTTTATATTTCATTCGAGTTTTATCATCTTGAACTTTGCGGTCGAGGTATACTTATAAAAGTGAATCGTTTCAGGGTGCGGCCAGGGATCAGAAAGGTAATAGCAGAGTTCAAAGCAAGAAAAGGAAATCGGTTACCAATGAGGAATTTGATGGTAATGAATATGTGCCCAATATCTCTACTGGCAGTGGAAAGGGGAACACAAATCCAGCATATGAGCCAGTTGGACCCTCGAGGCCTCAAGCTCCTGATCAAGCAATGCCGATCCAATCTTCACGTTCTCAGAAATCTTCATGGAAAACACTTATTTGTGATAAGAGCAAGGCTTCATTCAGCATCTCAGACATACTGCCTTCTGTTCCTTCAGCAAATGAAGAGCAACCAGAAGCAGATGATCTAAGTCTAGCTCATTCATCTCCGAACAGAAACAGCGACCGTGCTACTGCTGCAGTATTGAAAAGAAAAAAAGATAAAACGAAACCCGCGAATAGCAATGTTTCGTTCAGCATTTTAGACACACTGCCTACTGCGTCTTCAGCAGATCAAGAGCAAACAGAAGCTGCTGATCCGAATCGAGCTCATTCAACTCCAAACAGAAACAGCGACCTTGCTACTGCTGCAGTATTGAAAAGAAAAAAAGATGAAACGAAACCCGCGAATAGCAATGTTTCGTTCTGCATTTCAGATGCACTGCCTACTGCATCATCAGCAGATCAAGAGCAAACAGAAGCTGAGGATCCGAATCTAGCTGCAACTGATGCAATATTGGAAAGCAAATCAAAAGAAATGAAATCTGTGGAGAGCTCCCCAGAAGCCGAAAATACCATTCCGAATGTCACCTCGAATAAAGGAAGAGGCGCTGCATGGAAGAAAAAATCTTCATGGACACAATTAGTTAGCCAGGAAGCCACCTCCTTCAGTATTACTCAAATTTTATCAAACAATACTTCTGAAAAACAGGTACAAAGGGAATCCGATGTCATCAATGTTAATCTCTTTGCGCCAAGCGAAAATAATGATTCAATAGAACAGGAAAGTCGAAGTACTGCGGCAGATGAATCTGCTGCATTTGTAATTGCAAAAGATGAAACTGCCTGTTATGATGTCAAGAAGAATGACCAACCTGCAGTGCAAGAAAATGAGCCCTCTCCCACCGAAGTTATTGAGAGGCATATTAAACCACAGGAAGCAGGTTCATTTGATGCTAAAAGCGTCGAAACTTGCTGCCCGTTTATGAGAAATTCTCGGTCGGTAGCCGAGTGGACAAAGATAAAAGCTGCTCTTTCTGGTGGATCCAAGAAGAAAAAGCAGAGACAATTGGATACTCAATAGCATAGGTATGTAACTCTTAAATCTTGGTTGAATGTGGGGGCTTCATTATGTCTGAACATAAATTAGTTTCATCTGCTTATGAACAATCCATTGCAGCTTTGAATGGGTTCTTGGGGTGAAAGTGTTTTTAGCCTTAGAAGCAAAATTTAAAAGTGAAGTGTTGTCTACCTGCATTATTGACATTTTATAAGTTAGCCTTATAATTTAAATCAGCTATTATTCATAGACAATATTTTGTATCTTTTAAATTGAGTTTAGATTTGCATTACCCACTCCCAAACGGCTTCAAATATATGGTTTTTTTTTTTTTTCTCTCTCTCGTTAAAGGAGCTCTAAAAATTATGAAATTTCTTTGGTAGGTCTTAATTCGAGTAAAATTAGGGTTAGTATTGAAATTGGGATGAAAAATAATTCATTGGAGGTTGAATCAGGTTGAGCAATTCACACACATGCACTTGCACGCGTCGACACGTGCAGAAAGAGGTTCATCACGCGTGCAAACCATACGCGCATAGTGTCATAACCTCACTAAGAAGACAAGTAGGTTATGACCCCATACGTAGCCCGAAAATGTGGTGATCTTCAAGTGGTGCGCATCTAGCCACATGAGGTCTGAGATAGATAGTGTCATGGCCAAGTTGAAGCATTAGCAAGCTTGGAGAGAATGATGCGACCAAGCTTGGAGAGAGGGTTGAGTAGGGTTCCAAGTTATAATCCCAGAAGTTGGGATTTCGATATGAGTTTTAGTATGTGTGAACTCTGGAGTTAAATTCATCTATATGAAAGATGAAAACTCATCAATTTTGTTGTCAATCAGATATCCGATGGATGCTCCATGGGCCGGATGATTGCTTGCAAAAATAACATCTACTCCAAAAAGATTAGAAATGCTTCAAAATGTGTAATAAGGGGATGCATGATGTTAGCTCTCCACCACGACATCTCAATCATGTAATATGATATTTTATTAAAAGTTATAACTTTTGAAATGTCTCATCAAACGTATATAAAACCATCTATATTATCTGTGTATAATAGTCTTGAAAAATGTAGTAAAAAGAGCCTTGAAAATGTAGTAAAAAGAGCATTTATGTTTTCTTTTTGTTATCTGTGTATAATAGTCTTGGAAAATGCAGTAAAAATAGCACTTACGTTTTCTTTTAGCGAAATATTTGATTAATCAATTTTTGGTTGTGGAGTGATTTGAATATTAGACAAACATTCTTTCTTTTTGATATTCTATCAACAAGGCAACCCAAATCTTAATTTTCCTTAAAGAAATTTCTTTATTGTTTCGAGGTTCTTGAACATATTTAGATCTAAAGACCTTATTCTTCAATAAGTCAGATTAAATTCTCAAAAGTTCAATCATTTGGAACGAACTCAAATTGATTGGGGGTTTTAGTATTTAAACTAGGAGCTTGGATATCCAACGCGTTTATGAGAGTTCTTAAATTCAATTGGCTAAAGTTACCATATCATGTGAATTTTTTATTTATATGTTTTAAATAACTGATGTTCTTGAGTCTATGTTATGATAGCATGATATTATCTATAATGTGGTTTGATATAAATCGTGATTTAGAAGCATGTATATGGTGACATTCATAGCAACTCAATTCCACCCCTAATAGATATTCTTCTTTTTTTGGCTTTCCATTTTAAGCTTTCTGTCAAAGTTTTTAAAAAATATTTACTAGAGAGAGATTTTCACACACTTGTAAACAATTTTTCGTTTATCTCTCCAATCGATGAGGGATCTTACAATATCAGTATGTCTCAGATAAACCTAGTCAAAGAGTGATACTTCATTGTATTATTAAAAGGAACACCGAGGCCTTAGATAAAAATGGACTCGAGTGGACTCGTTGAACATGAATAAAAATCGAGTATGCATTAGCACGATGTGTCAATTCATGCGTTAGACATGTTAAACATTTTACTTGTTTTATGTATAAGAGGAGCATGTTGTATTCTTTCTATGCTATATGTTATTTGATAGCTCCTTAGGGGTTGTTCTACAATAAACTTTTAGTTAATAATAGGTTGATTCCATTACACAAAGAATATAAGGATGTTGTGACGTGTTATTTTCTATCGAGTATCAGGCAAACGAGTAGTTATCCTAATTATGCTATGATGTTGCCAATATCATTCGAGCATAAACATCACTTTCTATAGATATCATCCTGATTTAAGATTAAGATATTTACACGTCATAGATCCGGTTCGAAGTTTTGTTAAACTTTCTATAGATTCTTTAAGGATTAGGACTTAAAATCTTGATCTTCTACTTTGATTCATACGAAAAAAAAAGCACAACATGAACACTCGAACAAGAAAAACAAAGAAGAAAAGACAGTGATTCATACGAAACGAGTATAAGAGCAATATTAGGAATGCATTTTGGGCTTATTTATGATCCATGGGTGTACTCAAAATAAAGGTTAATCTAAAAGCAAGGTAGGATTAATAGATGATAGGGGCTATAATATTAATCTAATTAATGTGAAGTGGGGCTTAGAAATCATCTTGGGTTCTTCTCCTTCCACCAGACCCACTTTCCCTTTGGCAATTGAAATAAACGGCTGCCACCGGCAAGCCAAGATTGTAAAGCTCTGCAAAGTCTCTTGTGTTGAAGTTCTGGCGCCACCCAGGAGCGTACACCGTTTGCCTTCCAAGCTGTCGAAACAACACCAGCACAAGACGATGGATACCCACCGTGGGTCTTGGGCTCTCATAGCACACGATCTCTTGACCTACATTGTTCAAACAACAAATGCATATCAATTAATATAGCTCAACTAGTTAAGATATATATATATATATATAGAAATTAAGATGTCGGAGTTGGTTCAAGTCCTACGCTTTCACGTGACATTAAACTCGAGAAAAGAAGAAACTAGAATTTATGAATAATGGGTCTGTTGGGGAGAGGTTGTGGGATCTCACAATCCATCTCCCTTGGAGACCTAGCGACCTTGTTAGTATACAGCTTGATGATGGGTTTTGATACCATTTGTAATAGTCCAAGCTCACCGCTAGCAGATATTGTCCACTTTAATCCGTTACGTATAACCGTCAGTTTCACGGTTTTAAAACGTGTCTGCTATGGAGAAGTTTTCACACTCTTATAAGGAATGTTTCGTTCTTCTCTTCAACTGAGGTGGGAACTCACAAATCTCCCTTGGAGACCCAATGTGCTCGTTGGCACACCGCTCAGTAACATGCTTTGATACCATTTGTAGCAGTTCAAGTCCACCACTAGTACATATTGTCCGTTTTAGCCCATTACGTATCACCGTTAGCCTTATGGTTTTAAAACGCATCTACTGGGGATAGAGTGTAGGGAGAGGTTTCCACACTCTTATAAAATATGTTTCATTCTCTCTCCCAAATCTCCCTTGGAGACCCAACGTCCTCGCTGACACACTGCTCGGTGACAAGGCTTTGATACCATTCATAACAGTTCAAGCCCACCGCTAGTAGATATTGTCCGCTTTAGTCTGTTATGTGTTGTCATCAGCCTCACAGATTTCAAATGCATCTACTATAGAGAGATTTACATACTGTTATAAGGAATGTTTCGTTTCTCTCTCCAACTAACGTGAGATCTCGTGAGATCTCACATTTATTGTGGAAGAGTGTGCACAGATATGCTTAAAAGTCAGATGTTCAAATTTTCATATTCGTGATATAGAAATTGACGGGAAGAAAAAGTTAATTTAATTTTTTTGGGATCTCTTTTCCAAAGTACTTTAATACTGTTAAGGAATATATAATGTTATGAGGCATCCCTATCAAACTTTTAATAAACTTGATGGCATAAACAAAAATGTTCAGAAACATAAAGATAACATACCAAAGTTCGCTCCAGTTGTAGCTGGGATATCAGTCACCAACCTGCAAATCGAACCGAAACAATTATATACATTTACATCGGGATAGATCCACGTTGGAGTTAAAGGGGCACGTGCCCCGAAACTATCAATTTAATTCATTATTAGACTTTGATTCTCTTAAATTTTTAGAACAAGGCTTCAGTTCGTCACGAAAGGACACTGACAATCTTCAATTCTAGAGACATCTATGTTTCTATTCGAACATAACTTATTGGTAAGACACTAATTTACATCCTAAGAATCGATGGTTCCATTCTTTACTTTATCATATTTTAAATACAATAATGTTTAAAAATTATTATTAACATTAAAAATTTAAACTTTTAATCTATAAAAAGAATTCGTGATCAAGTTAAAATAATGTACGTATGGATGAGCGTTATGATAGGTTATTAGAAAGGATGATTCGTTTTTTCGAAAAAAAAATAGGTTACCTTCCTTGGAAAAAGTAAAAAGAAAAATTACCCGAGATGAAAAAGTATTCAATGAGGTCTGACCTAACTCTTAATAACGATCAAATATATATATCAGAAAAATGTTTGCGTTTTAATGATCCTAAGATGCAAAAGTGAAGCAGTCGTACAAATATTTTTTTTCACATTTAATGTGTAAAATTGTCGGTTATATTATGATGACCTCTCGGACACCGTAAAAAAATGAAAAGGTAAAAAAAGTGGACGTACCAATGCAAGTATTCCCTTAGATTAGGATCACTAGGGCTAGGAGCATCAGGATCCACCATAACCTATAGCAAACAAAGTGAAATGAAAGGGTAAAAAAATGCAGAGCCAACAGTGAAAAAGTAAGAACAAAGGAATTACCAAAGTGAAGAAGGTGCGAAGGTCAGTGCCACCAATCTCAACTCTTGGCTGGTTGACAACTTGAGAGGGTTTGAGCTCACAGCCATTGCTAATTTCCCTGTTGTTGTAAGTAGCCCTAATCGAAATGGACTTCGTGAACGAGTCGATAACGTCGCCGATGACTCTCCCAACGACCAAAGGGTCACGGTCTCTCGGCATGGCGTCGAGAGGATGGTAGTACGTGAGAGAGCTGAAAAGATGCGTAATTGTCTGGTGAAGAAGTTATTGAAGGGCAATCCCTTATTTATATCCTTTTTGAGGGGTACCTACCATTGTTATCTGTCGTCAACTAGAGATTCTTCACATTCTCCATGTCTCTATCATGATTCTTTGTAGTTTTATGTGCTTTTCTTTCTTTCAGTTTTTTCATATTTTTTTTTATGAACTTTATAAAAATATACGAGTTCGTTATGGAACTTGTTACGATTGAAGTTCAATTACATGAGATTATGAAGTTTAGTGGATCTA